TTTTCTTCCCTTCAAACTTTCCCTACATTACTGACTTTTAAAGACACTAGATCTTCACATAATGTGACTAAAAGTCAGCCCTCCAAGGTAGGCCAGGTCAGGAAACAGACACCACAAGAACTACTGGAACTCTACTTTATTGTTAAAAGGTATAATCTTGAAAGCCTGATAGATACTTTCTCTCCTCCCTGCCCCATCCATCAAAGAGAATCAAGGCAAGGCAATTGAGTCTTTCTCACTCCATCCTTCCTTCCAGGGCTAAGCTGGTGTTTACTATTGAATTTCTTCTTCAAAGCCATGTCCATATTCCTCTACATGTTTCCCCCAATCAGATTGAATCTCCCTTCCCATGCATAAAGAAAACACAGGCCCAGGTGCTTTGGGAATCAATTACAGATTCACTCCCCCCACACTCGCTTGGCAGCTCCCCCAGGGTCACTACACAGAGTCAGATGAAGCTGGAGAGTCCACATTCCCTTCCTGTTGCACAGTGAACTATAGTAGAGAGTCTATTGTGGCAGAAAACCCAGAATTGTCTTCATCCTGGGTGTCACTGTCTACTAATAGTAATGGTAGATTATGGGGATGGGAGATGTGTGGGAATTTCAGTTGGGACTGATGTACAAAGTGTGGGGCATGGACATCTGTTACAGTTTCTCACAGTCTCCCAGACTCAGTATAACCCTTCCAGTGAATCAGATATTCCAAATGCCTTCTCCTGGATCTATTATGCACAATAGTTTCTACCTTATACTTTCCACTGGAAAAGGGGAAGGGGAGGAACAGCTTTGGAATTCAAGAGGCAGGGTGCTCCTCACCGATGGAATATTGACCAAAACTTCATAGAAACAGGCAACTCCAACCAAAAAGCCACTGGGTTAATATATTGAGTAATTAAGAAAATGGTTTTTCAATGGACAGGTGGAAGGTAAAAACTTAGTGGAAAGCTACACCAATCTCCCATTGCAGTTTTGGCACCTTCTTGCTTGTGGGCATCTGTGCTATGCTTTGTATCCTAAAAGGCAGAAGCTATCTAACACTTCAATATCTTCATTGTCAGTTCTGAATTCTAAATCTGGTTGCTGTACCTTTCATCATTAGTTTGGTCTTTTTTACAGTATTTTTAATCAGCCCCATTTTTCTCTGTGCTCTGTGCATTGGTCAGATTATTGATATTTCTTCCTCCAATTATAAAAGCACACTCATATTCTTCTAATCCAGTCTCCCTCAATATATATTCAGTATATAAATTAAATAAATAAAAGGAAAGTATGCAGATTTGTTTCACTCCTTTGCCAGCCTGGGGCCATCTGCTTTATCATGTTCCATCCAGATTTCTTATAAGGATTCCCATTTTCTGACATTTTACAATTTAAAGAGATAAATCTGATAAATAAATAAAAATAAATGGTCAACACAATTGAAGGCCTTTCTATAATCAATTAAGCACAAACAGACCTCTTTTTGGCATTATTTGGTTTTCTCATCAGGCATCTCCTTTCCATGTAGGGTGGTAATTTGTGTTGGATGATTCTAAACATTATTTTGCCAGCATATGATGCCAGCATTGTGTATCCTGTTAAGCCTCCTTTCTTTGGTATGGTATGCTATAATGGTAAATAGGAATGATCTCGGGAGACAGGGAAAGAGCCACAGCCAGAGGAACAGTTCGATAAGAGGCAGTTGGCCCACAAAAGCAATGTGGGTGTGGCAAAGGGTGTGGCAAAAGGAATGTCTCAGAAGGAACCCTCCCTAATTTTGGGGGCTGTAAAGGTGACAGGGGAGAAATGCACTTTCAGACTTGCAAGATTCTGTTAATGTAACCTTAGAATAAAGTAGAATTAGTTCGCCTCAGCATGCTTCCTGTCTGGACTATTTTGCAAGGCTGACATATACGGACTAAGTCTTCCAATCTGTTGAGATTATATACTCTTGACATTCCTGGTATTCTTCATCCAGCCCACCCAGGAACACCTCTATTGCCAAGATAAAGCAGCATAGCAGAACCTGAAGGAAGGGTCTTCAGGCTTACTTAAATATATTAATATTCTAAGTGTGATAGTATCCTCTGCTAAGTGACCCATGAATCAGAACAGAAACATGTTAATAACCTCTATTTATGCCCCCATAAAGAGAAGCTTCATGAAGCTTCTTCCACTTATTTCCAGGAAATAAAGGAAAACAATGATGCAATGATGTAGGAACAGTCCTCATGTCTGAATTGGATTCATTTCCTCCAGCAGAATAGAACTTCATGCAAATAGCTACAATGCTAAGTTCAATCAGAGCTACTTTGATCAACTACTACTATCTCATCCTTAGAAGCCAGTCACAGAATAGCAATAATGGATTATACCGTACATTCGGAAAAAAGCATAACTACTTTCCCTCAAACTAGATTTCATGTAGCTTTTTTATCTAACACTGCATTCTACCACTACTCCTCCTTTGCACCTTCAAAGGTGAAATATTGTAAGCCATGCAGAATCATTTTTGAGTCAGGCAGCCTCAAAATTCAATAAATAAACAAGCAAGCAGTTTGGTTTCTATGTTATTCACTAAGGTGAGGCCATGACAAACTCTAAGTCAATAAGACCACATGTGAAACCTCTTGAATTCCTTCATCTATCATAATCCAGTGAAGTAAAAAATAAAAAACAAAAAACTATCTCTTAATAGTTTGCTTCTTCAGCAAAATTTTGAGTGAAGTATTTGAACCATATAAAAGAGTTTTAGCAAAACATTCTACCCAGTGTCAAACTATCCCAATGGAATGCCTTGACAGATACAGTACATCACATACCACATCTGATTCTTATAGTTACTTTTTCTAAGAAGAATCACAATTGATTTTTTTTTTGCTTTCTAGCTTAAAAACAACATCAAACCATTCAGCAACATCAAATGGTACACTAGATCTTTCAGCCTGTACTGCAGAATTCCTCAATACACTGAATAGCAATGCTTGTAAAAGTTTGACATTTGGCCTAACAGAATAAAGCCATTTAACATGGCTATATATTTGAAAATATCATCAATGCACCATTAGATAATTAGCAACGTACTCCTGATATATCTGTGAATTATATAATAGAATTTTAAAAATGAATTAAATCATTTAAGTAATGTACTAAAAAATTGGGTGACTGTGGTATAAGACAGCACAAGAATCACTAGCTTTTGCTCAATGAGTACTAATGGAGTTTATTCACTAAGAATGCAGGCAAAATAATTTCTGGACAAAAATTCCATATAAATTTTGCAGACATACAGGTGCACAAAGAGCAACTTTAGAATCTACAATTCATACGTCTTGTGTCCTCTGTTTCCTGAGCCCTGCTCTCAGTTTCCTTACATCTGTTCCCCAGACCAGGGTTCCTCAACCTTGACAACTTTAAGACGGGAGGACTTCAACTCCCAGAATTCCCCAGCCAGTATTGCTGGCTGGAGAATTCTGGAAGTTGAAGTCCACCCGTCTTTAAGTTGCCAAGGGGTTGAGGAACCCTGCCCCAGACAGAGTAGAGATGGAAGAAGGCTATGAAAATACTAAGATGCCTTTTTATTTCAAATGAGTATCTCTAGAAAAGACACCCATATGAAAGCACTTTTAGTCTTTTTCTCTTGTAAGTCTATAGACCATTACTATCAGAGTTTAAATGGTTCACAGTGAAATACAGTGTTCTACACAAGGAGTCAAACATTCAGGAAACAGCATGGAAGGAAAAAAAATCACAATCTCCTCTCTTCCTTGTCCTCAGTCTTGAAGTTCTATGAGTTATCTACAGACCCACAGAGAATCTATATTCCTATTTATTTCCCTGCTAGATCCTTGAGAGGGAAGTTACTCACAATGTGCTTGACAATCTTAATTGCTTCTATTAGCTCTGTTATCCAATATGACTAGATCTTTACTGCTTAACCTCATTGTTTATAGATAAAAAGACTATAGAAGGCATTAGAATAGAACACCTTGTTGAAAATTAGCAGATAAATGGTAGTACACATTTTAATTCTAACAATGTTTTAGGATTATTTCTCAGAATGGGTTATCCTATGCACATCCTGAATATGTAAGTATGTTTTCTCCAGTAAAATCACTAATGTCTTTGTGCTGAAGAATACCTTGTGGGGAGGGGGATACACTATAAATTGTGTTATAGTCTTAGTGCTTCTGGGACAACCTCATTCACATCAAAGTAAGTGATTTCCAAAAGTAGAACTACTAAAGAAACTGTAGGTTTCTTCTATCATGTGTTGCAGATGATTAAGCACATACTTAATAGCATAAATCCAGATTGAGAAATGAAATAGGGATGGAATCTGCATAGTTCAAAGGAATAAGAGATAACCTATTGTGGTAGCAGGAGGTGACCAGGTTGCCTTCCTGGAAATACTTAAAACCAAGCTTATATCTCCCCAGCCTTTCAGAACAAACTACTCTAGTGGTTGCAAAAACGATAATACAAAAGGCTGAATGTGCCTTGCCCTTTGCATTAGAAGCGTTTTTTCCATCTTTGCAGCAAACTAAACAATCACTGCTACAGTTGCTCCATGCGGGGGGGGAAAATGCCACTATGAGCACATTTTTTTCATCTGTTTGATATTGTATTGAAAATATCCCTAGGATAATTTGTTATTGTCTTATGAAACCTGACTTGGTTGGGTGCCACAAACTGGGATCCTGGGTTCTGACATCAAAACAAGCAACTGTAGTCCAATTAGCTTTATTTGTTTTTGTGCAAAGGGGGAGGAATGGGCCTCACAGCATCATCAGGCTGCTTGTACACAGGAAAGAAAAATAAGCCAGGTATATTGATTTATCATGCCTGAGTAATAATAACCAATGAGAAACTATGAAAGTGGAAACTTCCAAGTCCTGAGGAGGGATGCGTGGGAATAACATAATGATCGTTGCTAGTAGTACATGTAATGCTAAACTATGGTTTGGTGTTGCATTTGAAATGGAGTTTGGGAATGTGTCCAAGGAGAAGGGCATGTACCTTTTGGTCAATGCTGTATGCTAGAATCCAGTCCTCTTGCTTAGGATGGAAGAGCAGACTCTGGATGTAGAAGCTGAGTCGATATTTTTGATAGGTGGCACCTTCATCATTACTGATGAGTATGCTACTTTCAATCTCAGGATCACTTAAGAGCATTATCTATATAAAAACAAAGTAGGAAAAGTTCAAGAAAGTCTAATAATCTAATAACAAACTGAAATTACTATCATGCATACGGTATGTAACACACATTTATGTAAGATTTCCACATTGTGAATTCTGACACCAAATCACAATCTCAGATTAAATGCTAAATAGGGCATGGTGGTGCATCATCTGTAGGTACCTGATGAGATGCCCCACTCTTCAAATATCACTAAAATCTCATGGGATTTCATTTAAAAGTCTCAAAATGTCAGAAATCCTCATATGAGAAAGCTGAAATCTCAGAACATCTCTCTAAAAGATCATGAAGTTTTGTTGCTGATGAGGATGGCACAGACACCTGCTATAAAGAACAAAAGGTTACCAGGCAGAATCATGTGTTAACCTCTTCTGAACAGATGAGTATTATTAAAAGAAATACAGATGGCATCATTCATTTGTTTTTCAGATTTGTAGCTACACACTCCCAGCAATGCCAGCCTACTGACTGAGAAGAAAAGACCCACACAATCATTCTTCATTTAAGATCCAGCAAACTCCCAAGCTAAAAGGAGACAACTTTTGTACATGATTCAAATTCACACATTTGGCCAACGTATTCAGATGAATTTTCTAATTCTATTTAAACATAAATCTTTTTCAGCTCTAGAGATTTTTTTCCTCACAGGCATACCTATGTACAGTATACAGAACACAGAACACCATAAATGATTTGCCATTCTTCTATAAAATTGCTTGTTCTTTAAATTAAATGAACACTTTCTATACTTTATCTCAAAATGTAGAACTTTACATATTGTAGAAATTCTAGAAGGACTATGCTCAAATGCAAAGACTAAAATCAGACCATTCTGTATAAAAACAGGGCACAGGTATAAGCCACTCCTCCCACTGAGAAATGAACAGCTCTCAGTCCATTAGAGTACACAGGGAAGAAAAAGATGCAACATATGAACCTGGGGACTATTAAATATACAGACTGAGGTAGCGGTGTCCACAGGGAGTCAGGATAAATTTAAATAAATTTAAGGAGGAGGAGGAAGAGGAAGAGGAGGAGGCAGCAACCATTTCAATGTTATTAAAGATCCAACCATTTTGACTATACCCTGTAGACACCCCTGGACTGAGGCTTACAGTTGGCAGATGTTTGTTTTGTGTTTTAGTTATGACTTGTCTAATATCTGTAATAAAGCTACCTTATCTAAGAACTTATCTTTGCCTACTAGCTTTCAAATTCAAACAGCAGTCTGGGTAAAGTCTGACAGCAATAATGTTAAGCCAAATCATACATGAACAGTAACTAAGCCTAACGCCTATTATGAATGTTATGTGTCAAACTTGATTTGCTTGGTGGTTTCAAAACTGACAGTGATGCCTGTGGGTTTATATAAAATAAATTCACTAAAATATTAACATGGTAAACTGCATCATCCTGATAGTTATCAAATAAGAATTTCTAAGACACTTCATATATTTATTTATTACAATACTTACACACTGACTCTATGTAGTTCATAGTTAAAAGGCATTGCATAGTTAAAAGGCATTGCAAATCAAAAAACTACATTTGCCAAATGGAAGCTTACTCAGTACCTAAAAAAACGTTGAAAATTTATTAGATCTTGTCATTCTCCCATGACCTGTCTTTCAAAGCTTTACATGCCCTCATAGGGGCAAGATCACGAAATGGCATGGGAATTGTCAATTTCACAAGACGTTAGCCTACTTTTGGTAGGGGGGAGTTATGCCATAGACACAAAAGATTGTGGTTCCCAGTGATAATGAAAAAGCGATAATTTTGTTCCTCCAATACAGCCCCAAAGTATCACAAAAGGAAACTGAATCAGAAACATTGAACATACAAAACACAGATAACTGTATACTCTAATTCTCTATGGAAATAGATACAAAATGGATTTGGTAAGCAAATCAAAAGTCTAAAGATTCATAACACCTATACAAAATTGAAGAATGTTAAGCTATATGCTAATCAAATACATCTTTTACAAACCACTCAAACTATAATCTTAAATCTTAAAGTATTTCAATACACAAAATAAGAATTGCTCAAATTAATAGGTGTATGTTTCTCAAAAACTAAGTTGCTTTTGTATTAGCAGAGATCATCAAAAATCTATGTATGAAACTATGATTGGGGGAAATAACTTTGCCAAAAGCAAGCAAATATTGTTGAATTGTGGAAAATTCTTAGGACTCCACTGCTCCTCATTAGACAAGACACTGCAAAAAGTATGGGGGTATAAAATAGTAAAAAAAAAATTTTTTTTTTTAAAGTTGCTTACATAGTCATAGACTTAAAATAGAGAGAAAGAAGAGTCAGAGATTTCAATGTATTAAGCTTTGCTAAGCATCATGGATGTTTTAGCTTACACCTAGGACTATTGGGCTCAACACATAACTGATTCTGTTCTTGCTGAAAATACAATGTTATATGCCTCAATTTTATGCAAAAACATTAAGAAGGAATTGATAAACAGAAGAAACAAAGGAAAATTTGGGAAAATAATCATAAGGATGTGGAAAACTTTTGGTGCATGAAATATCTAGCTTCAGATGGTCCATGCACACATATAGACATGTGTATTTGTTCTGAACTCAGTCCCAAATGAGCCTGTTTTGTTGCAGGCACAGTCCCCAAAGTGGTTGTTCTAGAGAAAAGTGTCTTGAACATTCCATTCTGTTTAAGCTGCTATGACTGGAAGTTGACTTGTTTCTTGCAACTGAGGTGTTAATTTTGATTTATTTATTTTTCTTTTCTGGGCTAGTGCAATAGGAGTGACTGGTCATGCCCCTACTGCTGATGGTAAGGTGAGTAAGGTGTGTAGAATTTGGAATGAAGCAGCAGGCACTAAAGAAGGATAGGGTCTAGTGAGAGAACCATTATGGATCTAACTACTGTTGAAGGTTAAGAAGAGTGTGAGCTGTAAAGGAAGAAACTGCATCAAGAGACAACTGAACTCAAATCTGGAGCAGTGGTGAATGGTGGTAAGTATCCTTTATTTACATAATGCTTTCTTTGGCATGAAAATCAAAGATTCCCATCACACCAACTTCAACTTTTATAGGCAGTTTGTTGGTAGCAGCTGTATTTCTCACAAATTGCATCAGATTGTGTGGGATTGTCCTGGTCTGGTCGGGCCATAACTGGACTAACGTTGCCACCAGTGCTCTTACAGTAAGTTCCATACAATTGCTGGCTATTCCCAAACAGGTAGAGCAAGATCAAGTTCCCAGAGCAAGATCAAGTTCCACCTGTCAGGATAGGAGATCTCCCAGGTTCCACTTATTTGGTGGAACTCCACCAATCTATATATACATACCCACACATACACAAAGAGAGAAAGGGAGAGAGACAGAGAGATACCAAAACATGTTCTGCCTTTGTTCCCCCCCCCCCCAAAAAAAATAATTCTGGAAAGCAAATTATTCTTGGGTTGGGTATGGGTTTGTGTGTGTGCATGTATGAGAAGATTCTTTTGAGGAAGCTAGATTTAACATGGGTAGGATCATGTTTGTGATTTTCAAGGAAAGCAGGTAGAATGTCTGACATAAAATTAATGATGTGTGTATACACATGCACTGAGGTTCTGAAGTTCACCTGGAGTTCACACACAAGTGATGTTGGTACAAAAATAGTAGCACATAGAGGTTTTTTGTCTGCTGCATAGATGTGTGCATGTGTGAGTACTCTGGGACGCATGTGGGTCCAACTGATGTTGAGATTCAGGATGTCTTTATATATGTAGCATGTGTCTTCATCTTCTCTGAAATCTCTACAACCAACAGCACAAAAGAGCACACACAGAATCCACATGCACAATTAAATTGAAGGAGCCATCTTCAACACAGTTTACTTGCTAACTCCCCCGCCCCCAACAAAATTCCGTACTAATGGTTTGCTTTGATTTGACTGTTTTTGTTTTGTTTTGTTTTTACTCTGAGTATATTTTAAAAAGCAAAGAAGAACTGGCTGGCTAGCTCTTGGAGTTTTTCACTTTCATACTGTTGTTCACAATCATTTTTGTACTCTGTTCACTACATTCCATTGTTTATGGAAACATCAACATTTCCATCAACATTTTAAAATACAAAAACATTCTATATGTTAGGATTTTCTCATGGGAAGGATCCATCTCATTATCTGCAAAACAGTATTTTTATGGCTAAGTATATCGTGTGACTTAGTTTAGTTTCTTAGTTTGCACGTATACTGCTATTTACTGCCACCTATTGGCGTGTGTATGCTAGTTACTAAAGGGGTAGCAATATAATGGGAGGATTATATGTTTAGCCTCTCAGTAGAGTTTTAGCCACCATGTAGTCAGTTTTTATGGGTTATGTAGTTGTAACTAATAACCAAGTACAGTGGAACCTCGGGAGTTTTAGCCACCATGTAGTCAGTTTTTATGGGTTATGTAGTTGTAACTAATAACCAAGTACAGTGGAACCTCGGGAGTTTTAGCCACCATGTAGTCAGTTTTTATGGGTTATGTAGTTGTAACTAATAACCAAGTACAGTGGAACCTCGGGTTACGAATTTAATTCGTTCCGTGACTCTGGTTGCACCTCGAATTGGTCGTAACCCGAAGGAAATTTCCCCATAAGGTTCAATCTAATTACCGTTAATCCATTCTGGCGTGGAAGACAGGGAGGCGGTTATTGCTTGGAGGGAGAGTTCCCCTCCCTATGACCACGTGTCAGGGGCGGAAAATGGCCGCGGACCACATGTCAGGGGCGGAAAGTGGCCGTGGACCACATGTCAGGTGCAGAAAAATGGCCGCGGACCGTGTCACGGGAGGGAAAATGGCCACGTATCCTGTTCGTACCCTGAGGTGGAGTTGGCAAACCGAGGTAAATTTTTGCGGCTGGAGCTGGTCGTAACCCGGTCGTTAACAGAGGCGTTCGTAACCCAAGGTTCCACTGTAGTGTACCTCTTCTCTGAGAGTTTTTGGCTAGAGACTTTGTTAAGCTTG